ACCTGCTCCAGCCCCTCCATGTCCTTCCTGAGCTGAGGGCCCAGAACTGGACACAGCACTCCAGGGGTGGCCTCACCAGTGCTGAGTCCAGGGCAAGAATCACTTCCCTGCTCCTGCTGCCACACTGTTCCTGATCCAGGCCAGGATCCATTGGCCCTCTTGGCCACCTGGGCACACTCTGGCTCCTGTTCAGCTCCCTGTCCATCCCCACTCCCAGCTCCCTTCCTGCCTGGTTGCTCTCCAGCCACTCTGTCCCAGCCCGTGGGGCTGCCGGGGGTTGTTGTGGCCAAAGGGCAGGACCCGGCACTTGGCCTGGTTGAACCTCATCCAGTTGGAATCAGCCCAACTCTCCAGCTTGTTCTATGTTTCAATACTAGGATCAGATGAAGTTATTTCTCCTGCAGTGTTTGTTCTGCTCTGCAATCTGTGCCTCAATCTAGTTCAGGGAAGGTTAATACAAAATATTTGTAAGTTGTCACGCCAAAGGCTGAAAGTGGAAGTCTAAAGAATATCCCAGTGTGTCTCCCCCCTCCTCTGGCCACAAACAGCAGGGTGATTATGGGTGTGCTGCTCTTTCTGTCTGATATCCCATAAATGATATATGACACCATCAGATGTCCACAGTTGGATAACAGAATCCTATTACACAGGAAAAATTACAGTGCTTTGGGTAAAGAGCTGGGGTCTGAAACATGACAAATGTGAGTAGAACACTGGAAGCCCAAGAGGACTTGGAGACCTCAGTAATAATACAAACAATGTTCTGAGGACTAGAGGGGCTGAATCTGTAATGGTGACACAAGTTCCCTACTTGGCCCTACAACTGCTTTAATTCTTGCTTCTGCTTTCCTCTAGTCCAGTTCTGTGTTATTAAACACTGCATGGCTTTTATGTTGGAGCCTACAATGCATCTGCACTTGGTTTATTCCCTATCTGGGGTCTCAAACAATGTGATAAAATAAATTAATCAAATACCAGCTTCTAAATGAAGTGAAAACACAGGTACTGCTAAGAGGAAACACATCCAGTTCCTGGTCCTGGAACCAGAGATGAGCTGAGTGGGAGGGAATGGGTGGCCTGTAATTGTTCTCACTTGGTTTCCAAGACTGCACTCCCCCCTGCTACTCTGTCACCTGGATCAGCCACAAAAGGTGTCCTCTTGTGGATGCATCACATCTCACACAGGGACAGAACAGGGTCTGGACTGCAATCTCCAACTTCTCCCCCACCTCTGTAAATTCTGGATCTGGGAAGATCATCTATAAGCTCCAATTAAACCACCCTTTCTATGCCAGACATCTCTTGTGACCAAGGTTCATAATTTCTACCACCTGACACATTAATGACATCTGCCCAACAAAAGGAGATATTAAAGCTGGTTTTTTTCACAAGTCCTCTCCACTGCCACTCAAAATACCACTGTCTTACCTGTCACTGGCAGTCTGGAAACGAGGTAACATCTTCCTCTCGGCAATATATTTAATTGCGTAATACATGATTACGTAATATTTAATTACATCCACTGATCTGTTGCAAAAGTCAGCCTGTCACCTGACAACACTCACTTAATACTCTGATTTATTTTCTTTCTCATTTAAAAGATCAGCTGCTTGTCCTCTGTCCCAACTCTGTTCTGTTCCCAGTCTAAAACCTTTTACTGCTGAAATCATTACTCCCAGCTCCATGCTGGTGTTCCAGCTTCTCCCTTGCCTTTCAAAAGAATCTTTTTGTTGATCATGTGTGGGAAGAGTTTCCAGGAGAGTAAGAACCAGTTTTTTTGATGCCAGTAATCCCCTTCTTAAATTCCCTATTCCCACACCACCCGCTCTGAGAGTGCACAAGCTGCTGTTACTGAGGCCACAGAGTTGAACTGGATTTCTTCCCTGAACCCCACTACTAATGAAAACAATCAACCACAGTCACAGAATCAGAATGGTCTGGATTGGAAGGGACCTCAAAGCTCATCTTGTTCCACCCCTGCCATGGGCAGGGACACCTCCCACTAGCCCAGGTTGCTCCAAGCCCCGTCCAACCCGGCCTTGGACACTTCCAGGGATCCAGGGGCAGCCACAGCTTCTCTGGGCAACCTGGGCCAGGGCCTCCCCACCCCCACAGGGAACAATTCCTTCCCAATATCCCATCTAAACCTATTCTCTGTCAGTTTGAAGCCATTCCCCCTTGTCCTGACACTCCAGGCCCTTGGAAATAGTCTCCCTCCATGTTTCTTGTCAGCCCCTTCAGGCCCTGGAAGGCCACAATCAGGTCACCCCAAAGCTTCTCCTCTCCAGGCTGAACAATCCCAAC